CTGTAAATATATATATATATATGCATAGGAAGAAATAGATTTACTAAATCTATTTTTTCCTCTGAACTTTTCCGAATGTAGACAATGATAAATGGCCATGTAATTGAGTTTGTAGAAAACAAAAAAAAGAATGTCTAATCGATATGTCGTCACATAGAATATACAAGCAAATTATTGTTTTTATGATCTTGTTCATGAGATAACTTAGTTTTATGTTTGAAGTTTCTTGTTTTCTCATTCATCATCCGGATGTTCAATTCTTTTTTGTTGACAGGATACTAGTTGTTACAGTTCACCTCGTATCTACGTGCTGTCCCTTTCGGATATCCTGTACATACCATCATCAAATGTATTGAATACCGCACATATACATACGCAAAAGCTCATACATATGCTGTCAGCTAGTCAAATTAGCTGCAAGATGTTTAGCAATCATCATCGCTTTTTTTCTTCTTCTTCTTGTTCTTCTTTTCTTTTATTGTATAGAAAAAGAAGAAAATCTGGAAATAATTTAAGATCAGGAGTCTATATCTTTAATGAATGAGAAAGCGAACAACACGTGTTCGAACTGTCAGAATCAACAACAGGAGATTCGTATAATGTAAACATACAAGTAGACAGATACAAAGACTTGGTCAAATTGTAAGCTAGCCTATAATTAACTCGAGAGATTATAAAAGAAAAAGAAAAAGCGAATAGTAAATTGGGCAGTAATAATGATGATGAGCATGAACAGTAATATGAGCTAGGATAATAGAAAGAAGAATAAGCAAGTAAACGCGTGCCAAATGCCACAAAGGGTATCCGGCTATGTTCGTTAGTCGACCTTTTCCAATTTAGATACATGCGAATATAATGATGAATGAAAATAAAAAAGAAAAATAAAAAAAAAAAAGAATTTTAATCAAACATTTTTGAAATTGAAAGAATTGTCATGAAGAAAAAAGATGTGAGAAAAAGTGTTCTTTAAAAGATGTCTAAAAAAAAACTAAATTGAAAATGTTTCTTTTAGTGCTCGTATCATGAATACAGATAATCTTGGCGTTAATGGACCGGGTGTTGGTGTTACCAACGATCTATATGGTCATCATCACCTTACTCATCCTCATCTACTTCCACCTCATCATTCACAACATCCATCGACAATCTATTGTTCTTCATCAAACCCTTATACGGAATTATTTTCTCCATTTTCAACTGATTTTGTAACACCTCACGATACTGGTACGAATACTAATGTACCAACTGATTATCTCACATTACCAAATTCTCTTGATTATGTTGTTTCACATCATCATAATCATCATCATCATCATCATCAACAACAACAACAACATCTTCATCATATGACTAGTTCTTCAAATGGAGAACGAACATCATCATCTGTTGGTACTGGTATTAATGGTTCTGATGTATCTCCATCTCATTCGTTTGCTACAAGTAGTGGTTATTCATCATCAGCTGATTATTATAATACATCAATACTTAACTCTAAAACAGGTCTCAATAATACAAATACATCAAATACAACAACAACTAATAATAACAATACATCAACAACAAGTACAAATAGTCATAGTCCATATGATGGTACATCAACAGCAAGCACATCATCACCACCACAATCAACAGGATATTTAACTACAGCAGTTAAACAAGAAACAATGATGCCAACCCCTTTTGCCATCGATCCGCATAGTAATTATGGTACATATTAAATTTATTTTTTGTTCTTTTCATTCGAATTTAATTTTCTTTTGCTATTTTTTTGTTGTAATAGGAAATGTTAATGGAACAACATCGGCGACTAGTACTAATAGCACAAACAATAATAATAATCCCAATTTCGGTCTTAGTGTTGATGAATATGGTTCTCCATTATATCATCCATCGGCAGCTAATGCTTATTCATCATATTCACCAACAGGTCTGTTACAAGCATCTTATCCAGTTGTACCTTATGGTGTATCCCATGCTGATCAAATGCGATTGTATAATTCACAATTAAAAAATGAGTTTGGGTAAATAACAAAATGATACTTTTTTTCTTAATAGAAATATTGTTCCTTCGTTTTTTTTTTTCATAATTTAGTATCGATATGCGTTTTAAATTAGTTGGTAATCAACGAGTTTCACCAAACGCTGATGTATCTCCATCACAATTATGTGCTGTTTGTCAAGGTAAATAATTTCTAAACATTTCTAATCGATTTTTGATGTTTATTTATATATAGATTCAGCTCAATGTCAGCATTATGGTGTTCGAACTTGTGAAGGTAAGTTGATTATCTTTATTCTTTAGCGTTTTTCTTCTTCTTTCATTCGGTATCTTTTTTTTCTTTTGTAGGATGCAAAGGATTCTTCAAAGTAAGTTAAACTGTCTACTACTGGATAATCTCTTTCAATCATATATATAAATAAAAAAAAAAATTATATATGTGGATATTTGAACATGACTCGATTTTTATTGATTTATTTATTTAGCGAACAGTACAAAAGAATGCTAAATATGTATGTTTGGCAGATAAAAATTGTCCAGTTGATAAGCGACGGCGAAATCGATGTCAATATTGTCGATTTCAAACATGTCTAGCTGTTGGCATGGATAAAGAAGGTAACAAAAAAAGAAATGTCAAAGAATTCTGTTGGATAGGAAGACTACCTTTTATTTAAAAACGTTACGTACGCTGTTTTGTATAGCAACTTATGACACATCTAATTTTATATAGGAAATCGTATTTTCATCGATTTCTAATGTTTCGAGAAGTCACATGCTAGAGCAGAAATAATATAGAGATTGTAGATGATATAACCAAATATTAGAACTTAGTATGTTGTCAAACCAATCTATATCAGATGTTGTTTAAAACTTCTTCAAAAGAAGCGCTCTATTAGTCATAAAGGAGATGAGGATGCGTGAATATGCAAAATTTTTAATCCTACGAAAAGATCGCAAGATTCATATGTATTTATGTGCCTTTAAGGAATCGCAATATTGACCCTTTTTTTCAGGTATTAGTTGACTGATTTAACCATGACAACACCAATTCAGAGGACATTCAATTGGTATATTTATAAAGCTGGATGCCACACAATATGTGAGAGAGTTGCATTGTTGGTCACTTTTACCCTCAGAAACAGTATCGAAGAATTTGAGTGTCATAAAGTATACACGATTAAAGATGAGATACAACTCTATTGAAGCAACTTTAATCAAAATTTAACATAGATTGGCTTGAAAACATACTGAGTCCTAATATTTTAATCTTATTATCCAAAATTTCTATAATATTCCTTAACTTGTATATGACTCCTACGAATATTAAAACTTGATGGAAAAATCAATTTTCTATATACCGATCGATGTGTCTCAAGTTGCTCTGCAAAACAATATAGATGGCTTCGCAAATGAAGAGTAGTGATCTTCTTCGATAAGGTCCTTTCACATGACTTATTTTTATTTTTCTGTTTAGTTGTTCGGACAGATGCGTTAAAAGGTCGTCGTGGTCGTCTACCGTCAAAACCTAAAAGTCCGAGTACAAGACAACCAAATAGTTTTCAAACTCAATTTTGTCGTTTCTATAATGATTCCATACCAAATCCGGCCAGTCTTGATTTTAGCAAATTGAATGTAAAGGTTTTTTCGTTTTGAATTGAAATCTATGTAATAATTAGAGTTTTTTTCATTTTATTCTAGTATCGAACAGTGACAAATAAAGAAAATTTATGTGAAGAAAAATTACTTGTTTATGATGCACTCATACGTTCATGCGATATAATTAAACAATGGGTTGATAAATTTTCATTATTTTATTCTATACAAAATAATGAACGTGATCGTCTTTATTCAAATTGTTTATTAGAACAAATTGTATTGCGTACAGCATCACGTCTTGATGGTGATCGTGTTATATTATGTTCAGGTATTGTTGTACATAAAGTACAAATAAATTATTTACTTGGTGATGTTGCACAACAAATATATGATTATGCGTCCACATTAAAACTTCAAAAAATTGATTCAATTATTGCAGCAACACTTGCATCAATTCTATTACTTGATTCAAATAATCCTGGTAAAAAGAAAAAATAAAGACTTGTTTGTATGAAAAACAAAACTTTTTTTATTTTTAAGATTATGTTTATCATCGAACACCATTATCATCAACTGTTACTGAACTTTATCAAAAAATAGTTGATTCTTTGAAAGACTATTTAAAACAACAACATGAAGATAGTTCTGTTTATTTACAATTATTAGAACGACTAAATGATGTTAGACATATTGCACATAACTTAAGAAAACGTTTGTCACTTTATCGACATTCAACTGGATTAACAAATTCAATGAATACATTACTTGATTTAGTGTATGTAGAATTGTATTATTAGAAAAAAAAAACTAAGAACTAATTATTTTAGACTTGAATGTAAACCAATATCGACCGATTTACAAACAAATGAAGATAATACAACGTTACCATTTATTCAATATGATCTATAACCAATTCGGTTTTTTTTATTTATAGACATATATACACAAGTATTATTTAAATCCATTGCCACCATCACCGATGTTCTTCAGTAGTTATTAAAGTCATACGGGTCACACCTTTCTGTCTTCCATGATCCACGTACACACCCATTTTTGATTGTCTTTCGTTCTTTTCTTTATTGTTGTTGTACAGCAGATTATTAATGTTGATGATAATAATGACTGAGGGACACGCACACACATACACACACTTACACACATACCGTATTTTGTGTCTTCTATTCCTCTCGGTCTTCCATCTAATCCTTTCATGTGCACCATTATCACTACCAAATGACCGATTTGTTCTTATGGCTTGTATACAACCTTTATGGTTCTCTCTTTTGTTTTCCTATTATCTCTGTCATATAAATGGAGACTGCTTTTTTTTTCTCTTTTTTTTTCTATTAACTATTATGTGCGATGCAAAATAAATTCAACAAAAAAAAAATTTACAAATTCGTGTTTATGTTTTTTCTTTCTTAATATTATTTTCAATGATAGATTTTTGAAGTTGATTAAGACGAAGAAGATTGACAAAAGTTTCCTACAAAAAAACAAGATTTTAATAATGAAATATGTTTATAATTTCTTTCTCATAATTATATGCTTACGTTGTAGAGATGAGGTCTCGTAATAAGAAATTGCTGCCATACATCAGTAGTGAATATCTAAGTATAGAAAAAAGTTAATGATATTCTTATAAAAAAATGTTGAGAATATCTCTGTGTTTCTCTTTAACAGCTAATATTTAAATATTGAACTGCATATGTGGAGCACAATATACAGTTATCTTCTTCGAATGGAGTAAAATGATACTAATAAACTGATTCTTTAATATTCTTCTTCCTCTAATAAAGAACATTTTTAAATAATCAATCACTTTCTCACAAAAAACTACTCGGTGATAGGTTATCGACCATGCTAGTTTTCCTGACTTGCAAACATTTCTCCAAAATAGTTTTAGATTTGTTCATGCAGGAATATATCCTGCTGTCAGAAGCCGTTCGGTTTCATATTATGGCTAAGAGTAGAACACGTTGAGACTAAGAAAAGCTTCAAAAGGTTTGTGCTCATGATCCACTATAGTTGAAATTATGTCTATAGATACATTTAGTAATCATCAAATAGTTCTGAAAGTTCCAACAAAAACAAATATGCTTTCTTTAGGATTTTTCATTTTGAAGTGAACTCGATTGCATTATCCTCATATTATTGTAAATCGCTGGTTTTTTCTGAATATTGAATATTTCAAGAAAGACATATTTATGTTCATTGAAATTTTGAAGATCATCTAATGACTAACAAACATACCTATAGACAAAATTTCAATTCAAAAACTTTTTACTTTGAATTTTTCGGAAAAGCATTGTTCTCAGTACAACTTTCATTACAACGGACATAATTCTTCCATAGTAGACCATAGACCCAAATCTTTTTCAGCTCTTCTTAATTTCACCTAAACCTGCTTGTAGCCATGATGTGAAGTCGAATAGCGTGCTACCTTTGTATATGTTTTTTTTCATCAGACTATAGAACATATCGAGTTGCCTCTAAGTCAATAGTATTTTCTATTTTATAAAAATAAGTTTGAATGTGGGGATGATTTTTCCTAACTACCAGTTGCCATGATATTTGCAGCATTGTTATTAAGATTTAATCTTTTGTGTCTTAGAAAAACTGTTATTACCAGGCACTACAGTAGTATCTGTCAATATTACACTTTATGCGATGCTAGGTGGTCTTAAATTAAAAACACAGTTATTGTTGAAGGTACATTTTAGTAAAATAAATTAATTATGATTCATACATCGAAATCTCTCAATATTAAGTTGAGAGAGTTATTTTCTGCATCAGTTAAACAATCGAAAACATTTCAAAGGAGATGATAGTAATAAGACTTCTATGGTACAAGTTAATGTAAATACCAATTCTTTCGAAAATCATAATCAAACTACAAACAATAATTATGATAATTGAATGAATCATAAATGAACTCGTCTAATTTTTATTATTTTTCTTTTATTTAATAACTGATGCAAAGATATATGTGAAAATGTCGAAATCTACCTCTCAACAACTTAATATTGCATTAACTTCGTTATAATTTGTTTACAAGAGCAAACTTTGAAGAGCATATACATTAAAAAAAAAGCACTTTCTGGAACACCCATTTTTTAATTTCGTTTCCGTTGCCTATTCTCGCGAGAAATGGGACAAAAAAAGAAGGAAAAAAATCATTTCTGTGGAACATCAAAAAAAACTTTTTCTAATCTAAAAAACCAGTGTATGAAGACCTAAGGAAATCACTCATGGCCATATATGGAAGTAGCATGGTCGATAACCTACAATGCAATAGCTTTCGTCATTCGCCAGAGAAATACTTCTGATTTTCGTTACGTTTTATGAGGAAAAAAAAAATCTTTTTTTTCTCTTCATTGTTTCATATTACATACCTGTGAATATTGTTGACATAAAAATGTGAGTATACGATTTTTAAGTATTTTCATTTGTTTATCATCAGCTAATTGTAATAGTTCCAAACAATTTTTTTGGGTTATATGATTCAAACATTTCTTTGTTAAAATATTTTTCAAATGAAACAATTCAAATAAATCAGCTGCATTTAATAAATCACGAATTTCATCAATTGAAAATTCTCCAATACACATTTCAATTTCACCAGTATAAATATATCTTAAAATACGTTGAAGAATAATTCCATTAACGAAATCTATTTGAATTTTATTCATTTGTTGATTTGTAGAAATAAGTTCGGTAAACTTTTCACATGATGTACATAGTATAAGACGATGTACATGAAATTCTTGACCATCTAAAGAATAAATAATTAAATCAGTAAAAAGTTTTTGTTTTGACATAAGCCAAAATATATTGCCGATAGTTAATTCTATCATAGGATTATGATTATAAAATCTATTAGCATCACCACTAGATACATTCGAAAGAAAAGATTGTCTATCAAAGGATAAATTTTCAATAATTTTGTTGTTATAAGACATAGATTTCCAATTATCAATTGTTGATGAGCATTCATAGATAATTAATTTGATCGAAAACAATATATTATTTGACGAAATGGAGAAGATTGTATCACGAGGTAAGATAATCAATGCTCGATTAAAATGCACTTGATGACGACCTTCAGTTTTTAATAGATTTAAAATACTATCATCAGCTACTTCAAATACTATTCGTCAAAGATAAAAAATTCTTGATGAGATTAATATATAAATAATTACCTTGATAGTTGGTTTCGAAAAGTGTTTGAGAAGATTGTTCATATCCATTTACTTTTAGAACTTCAAATGCACAATATGACTGATCATCTGACAATGATTCTTCTTCACTTGTTGTAATTGAATATTGTGGTAAAATATTTAATATATCATGATTTAATATTGGAATGTCAACTGTTTCTTCTGATGATATGACTTTCGTAAGATCTTTCTTCGTTGTTGTTATTGATTGTTCAACATTTGATATTGGTTTTAGTAAAATTTCATTGAATAATTGATTGAGAGATTCTATATATGGTAATGAATTTTGATTTTCCTTGTTGTTTATTACGTTTCGAAGAGTATTGAGTAAAGCTTGACGTGCATTTTCATCATTTTTGGAAATTTCATTCAATGCACTATTATTACCTGTTTTTGTACAACATTCATTATGATCGATGAAAGTAAATGAATTTTTATTTTTTGATGATTTCGATGCTCTGGGATAGAAGCGAATAATCCAATGTAAAAATCCATTTTCACCAGTGCAACCAAATGGACTGGATTGTACATAGAAATCTTGTTTCTGATTTTTTAAAGATTGAATATCGGATAAAAACCAGCGATGAACAATAATCTGTTCAGAACGTATTTTGTATAAATTTCTATTTGGTTCTTTTCTATTATTTTTATTTTCTGAAGAAGAATTGTTTGAATCAGTTTCGCTTTGATCATCATTAGAATTTGTTGGTGTTGTACCACTTTCATCGGTCCACGATTGTGAATAGCTCATAGACGTATTAGAAAAAGATCATGATTTTTTAATAAGAAGAAGGAAATATGACATAAAAAAGATTTTAGAAAACAAAAAAAAATAACTATGATATAATTTCAACACGAAACTTTCTTTTCTTTTGCATAGTTACGAATAAATTTAAATTAACCCAGACAAAAAGAAAAAGAAAGAAACATATTGGAGAACTTTATATTTGTTTCTTATTTGTAATACAGGAATGTGAGACAGGTGTGTCTAGATGTTTCGTGAATGCACGCAAGCGTAGGTTGTTTGTTTTTCTTGTATATATGTATGTGTTCGATGCACACTGGCAATTATCACCACGATGATATTTGCCGAAATGTTACCAGTGCATTGGTATATCTATGTATGTATGTATGTATGCAATCGACAACCGTTTTGAATTACAAGAGAGAGAAAAAAAAAGAAAGGGCGATTCGGGAGCTCATTTTTTTTCGATCATCATTGATCTGCATCGATAATCATTTTTCTTAAATTTTTATTTTGTTTTATTTTAATTGTATGGTTATGTATGTGTGTGTATGTGAAAAGATCACGAGAGAAAGCAAGCAATCGGATGCCGATCTATCAATAATGGCGTCGTCAATGTCATGTCCTTTACCCATGACAAAAGAAATAGTTCTTTGTCGACTCACATCACCCACCAATCAAAGAATGTATATATAAACACATACGCCAATCTTGTCGTTCTTTCCGGTAGTATTGATGTGTTCTCTATACTCATCATCTATCTAGTTACAAATGTTCTTTATTCGATATGACTACAAAGATTGGAAGCATGATGAGAGAGAGAGAAAAAAACAGCGAGCAAGAATGAGAGAAAGTTTCACCGATGTTGTCGTCGTGGGTGCCATATCATCATCATCACCATCACAATAACATTGCCTGAAGGTTTCATCTACCACCAGTTGCAACTAATCAGGCTACTTTTGCGTCTCGCGACTGTTGATCTCTATCTCGACATCTATTCTTTCATTCATCTTTCAACATATCTTATAGGATGGTATGAGTACTTTGCTTTATTTGTACATTTTGATCGATGCACTGATGATGAAGATGTAACCAACAGAATGAGAAAGAGAGAGTCAGACAACAACAGGTGTTACTGTCTGTTATATAGCACTATTAAGAAACAAAAAAAGTGTGTGTATGTTGTGCCTATTGTTAGTCGAAAGAAAGAGATACAAATTGCTCAAAATACATATAATGTCCGTTGTTCTAGAAACGATCAATGTGTGACGAAACAGAAGAAAATGCTGTTGAAGACCCTGATTCTGAAGATGAGACAACAGCAATAACAACAGCAACAACAGAAACATCAACACCAACCAATACAACATCAGCCATGAAGACTGTTGTTAATGGTCGAAAATCTCTACGAACACCTAAATGTGCCCGATGCCGAAATCATGGTGTTGTCTCTTGCCTTAAAGTAAAAAATTCATAGGAGACAATAACAATCTTTTTTGGATTCTATTTTCTAGGGTCACAAAAAGTATTGCCGATGGCGTGATTGTACGTGTGCAAGTTGTTTATTAGTTGTGGAACGGCAACGTATTATGGCTGCACAAGTAGCTCTACGCAGGTATGCCATAATATGTTGTTGATGAAATACAAAATACAATCGAAGAAAAGAGAAAGCTCAATCTTCAATATAGTTTTATACTTATTTCTTTCTTTTTTTGTATATATCTAGACAACAAGCAACAATAAATACAAATAAGACAACAACGATGACAAACAGTAATAAATATAGAAATTCAGCTTTATTTCTTGAACAAAAACGTCTTGCCGTACAAAAAAATTTAAGACAATTACAAGAGAGTTCAATATCAAGAGATGTTATCAGAAGTAAGATAATTATTCTATTATGTATTCTATATATATGATTGTTTTTGTTTTTATTTTTATTTTTTTAAAAGATCTCAAAGCAAAAAGTCATAAGAATGAAAACAATGGAATTAATCGTTTTTCAACAACTCCAATGTTAAATGATCGATTACGTAAACGTCGTTGTTTTGCTGATAAAGAATTGGATAACATTCCAACAATATCATCAACACTTGAGACTATGGTGACAAACAGTGCTTTTCGTATGGCTAATTTATCTCGTTTTCGTTCACGAGATACATCATTGTCATCGTTTCCTTCGGAAAAATCAACACAAAAGAAATGGACTGATTTTTCTGTAGCAGCTATTATTGGTCAGAGTTAATCTATTTTATACTGTTTTATTATATACATATATATCTTTCGAAAAAAAAAGAAAGATCTATTTTTTGTGTTTATTTCTTGTATTTGAGAAAAAAAATCACAATTATTAGTGAGATCATTAGTGTAAAGAATTGTGAATTTGATATTCTGTTATTATAAATTAATCTATCATTTTGATTATCAATCTCAGAATATTTTTATTTAAAAATTTACAATACTATGCAAGATAACATTTAATATTATTTAATAGTGATAGATCACATTACTGATATCAATGAATAATCAAAACTGTATTTCATTCATATTGAATTCTTATTTCAATAGGGAAAAATGAAATAACTTTTGCAAGTTACAGCTGAGATTGCACAGTGAAATATTGTTATACAAGTAAAAGTATACCATGTAAACAAAAAGTCTTGCTGTTAAAAGCCATTTACTACTACTTGAATGAAGTAATATCAGAAAATAACAAGGCTGACAAGAGAACGTTTTCAACGAAACAATCCATTTTGAATTCGGACTCTGTACATCAGATAGATTCAAGTGAGATATAAGAAACCTCAAAAGAATAGGTTCTTTATACTTGTTATTTAGAATTATAGATATTTTACAGGAATGACAATTTCTGGTTTGGTATATACCAGCAAATCAAATGATGGTATTTCGAAAAGAAATAATAGGATTCGGAAAACAGAAAATTCTAGCCTATTTCGTCAAGTAGGCGAAATTTTTCAGACTTTGATACTTCGGGAAGGAAATATTCTTTTGAGCTGCAAGTTTCAAAACATTTTACGGACAAATAGACCTATTCATGAGCAAAATATCAGGTGGAAATATCATCATTGCGATTTGTTGATATTTACTAAACCAGAGGCTGAAACTCCTGTAAAATGCCTATAACTCTGAATAGATGTTTTGAGGAGACTTGCCTTTTTGAGGTTTTCTTATACCTCAATGGGGTCTATCTTATTCAGAGGGTCTAAACTCAAAAGCAACTGATCAGTTGACAACGTTTCTTAGAGAGTAAAGCTTGTTTGAAAATTCTTATGATCAAATTAATTCATAAAAAGCGAACAAATTTTATTTATTGAATTAGAATTGTTATCCGAATGTATACGTATGACGTTTTCTTATTTATGTGACGATTGATAATTCAAAATTCAATGTTGAATAACAGAGATTTGTAGACATTTCTTATTTATATTGTATATAGAACCCTGTGTAGCATGCAAGATCAATCTATAAGTGGCATCAATAGTCCCGTATGATGTGTACATCATTGACTACATCTTTTAGAGTATTGTATGTATATAAATAGAATAGATTCTTCGCCATAACCTTATTCACTGTTCACGACATTTGTTGTATTATCAAAATAGTAATGAGATACTTTGCATAGACAACTTTTGCTTCTCTTTCATGAGAATTTATCTGGCAATTTATATTTTGCGTAAGAAATAAATAACTATTGTATTTAATCAAAATTTCAAGGTTATTTATTTGAAAAAGGCTAAGTTTCATATGATTTGATATGATTTATATACAATTCTGTATAAATACGCTAATGTTTCCTAACTTCACTGTATACATCAAATTTTTTATTATAAAAATGTCAATTTATCGTTATAAATATGAAATTGAATTTTTCGAATTCATGTAGAAAGCAATGTCTCCGTTTGTATCTATATAAAGTGTGAATGACAAAATATGTATCACTCTTTAGCTGCTGATTTTTCAT